GTGGGAGGCGGAAATGGGCATAAAACACGGCTGTCTTGTCGCGTGCTATGTGGGCGGAATACGGACGTCGTGAAATTTGGAAACCGTGTCGCATGGGATATGCTGGGCGTGTGGCGAAGCTGAGTGTGTGTTATAAGGTGTAGGAACAAGCCACCGCGATGCGGCTTAGAGTGAGATAGGAGAGTGAGTTGTTCTTCATCTACGAAAAATAGCTGTGTACAATTCTGTGTCGGCCTGCCTACTATTCTTGACGAGTGTAACCCTAAACCTGCCTGCGAGGGGAAGCGAATGAGTTCACTTTTGTTCAAAGGTTTTTATTGTCCGTAGGAGCGGGGTGCAAGCCACATCTACTTACGGAAGTTCTCCCCCAAACTGGGGAGGTCCGTGTGCCCCCCAACTCCTGCAGTACAATACATGGTTACCAGGGGTTCAAAAAAAAAACTTCTGAACCAACCATGCCAAAAGTGCACCGTCGCTTTAAGGATAAGAAACGGTAAGTGGATGCAAAGGAACAAGATGTATGAGCAAGGGGATAATGGGTCAAAGTGAGAGCGAATTGATAAGAAATGGGTACAGGAAGGTTCGAAACGGTTGGAAACTCACATTGGTTAGAGTAAATCTGGGCAAATGAGGAGAGCACCTTCTGATCCGACACTTGCTGGATAATCGACTGCATCTGCGCCTCCCAGTCAGGATCCAACGGTGGAAAATCCCTCCCTGATCTAGCCGCGGGTTAACAGCCGGAACGACAATTTGCGGCGACGCGGGTTGCGCGTGCGCGAAGTTCGCCCCGCTGCCGCTCAGCAGACACGCGACCAGCAGCGCGGCGGCGACGCCGGCGGCGCTGCTCGCGAGATCCGCCCACGGGTAACACCAGTTCGCGTGCGGATGGCCATTTTTCTTCCCGAGGGACAGGAAGTGAACTCGTCCATTGAGTATCTCCAAAGGGTGTGTAGAAAATAGTACAACTCCGAGTGGAGTCGGAGCTTAGAAGTCAGCAGTTTCTACTGCGTTAAAAAAAACCTTCTGATCCGCGAGGATGATGATGAGACTATCAGCAGTCTCTGCCCCATTTCCCCCCCCCCCCCCCGCCCCAGGCTCCTGTTGTTCGACAGTTTCTAAGCCCCTCCCCCCCTTCCTAGCTCCTGTCAGCAGTTTCTACTGCGAGAGGTTTCTACTCCCCCGACAGCTCCGCGCAGGCGCCCCAACTCGTCCTAGGAGCGCGCAGGCGCGCAGGCCTCCCAGCGCGCATGCCCCACGCGTACGCGCATCATCGTGCGTCTGACCGCGTTTGCTGTGAGCAACCAGTCTGACTGGCTGGATCATATCGCGAGGGAATTTGAGGCGCCTCAAATTCAACTGCATGCCCCACGCGTACGCGCATCATCGAGCGTCTGACCGCGTTTGCTGTGAGCAACCAGTCTGACTGGCTGGATCATATCGCGAGGGATTGTGAGGCGCCTCAAATTCAACTGCATGCCCCACGCGTACGCGCATCATCGTGCGTCTGACCGCGTTTGCTGTGAGCAACCAGTCTGACTGGCTGGATCATATCGCGAGGGATTGTGAGGCGCCTCAAATTCAACTGCATGCCCCACGCGTACGCGCATCATCGTGCGTCTGACCGCGTTTGCTGTCAGCAACCAGTCTGACTGGCTGGATCATATCGCGAGGGATTGTGAGGCGCCTCAAATTCAACTGCATGCCCCACGCGTACGCCCATCATCGTGCGTCTGACCGCGTTTGCTGTCAGCAACCAGTCTGACTGGCTGGATCATATCGCGAGGGAGCGCTGACGTGGATCCACGTCTATGCATCCAATCATCTGCAAAACTCAGGTCGGCGTGCGTCGGGTGACAGAAGCATTTTCAGACGAGGCGTTGGCGGAAAAGGGGGAAGCAGTTGGTGAGTTTACGCGCAACGGGCGGCACATACTATCGCCTGCCGTGTGATCGGCTAGGTTCTCGAGGGGAGACGGGAGCATTTTCAGACGAGGCGTTGGCGAAAACGGGGGAAGCAGTTGGCGAGTTTACGCGCAGAGAGGTCTGACCTGGTTGCAGAGAGTTTCTGATACTTCCGGCACAACGAGCGGTGATAGCTGTACTAGTTTACAATCGACGGTTTCTGAGTTGACTCGAGCACGCCGGCAACTCACTGTTTTTGTTTGCTTCGCCGTAAAAAAAAATCCTTGCTATCGGATTACTCGAGACCTTAGGGTCGCCGCGATGACGGCCGAGATTCCGCGACATCGGCGCGCGCGCGCCGATTCTGCAGTGCGCACTGCAGCAGAGGAGTTACTGCTCTCGCGCAACGGAAGTTCGATTCGTCGTTTTCTCACAACATAAATTCTCACCTCACGCCGCGAGCACAGTACACGCACTCTACTACGCCTACTACCGAGGTGTGTGCCGTGCTATACTCGCGACGAGAAGAATAAGCAACGATTGTTTGCCTTGCTCGAATAGGGACAACAGCTCGCGAAGAAAAGACTACGCAACGATGGTTTCTTGCCTTGCTCGAATAGGGACAAAAGCTGAGGTTGATCGAGTTAGAGAGTTTTCCAGACAGGCAGCAGAGTTCAGTGGGTGTTGGGTGGGGGGGGGAGAGGAGGGGCGAACGTTGGGCGAATTGCGAAAAGGCGAGAGGGGCGCAAATTGAATGTGGGCGGAAGTGGCGGGGCTTTTGCGCGTGACGAGAAGGCAGCGCAGAGGCCGAGCGAGAAGCGAACCGCAAATTGGTACAATATGTAATACTGTAACAGCAAGTGCCGTTTCGTCTCCCAGTTCGTGTTGATGAAACTTCGTCCTAGATGTTCGTGCCAACGCTAACAAATTTCGCTACTTCGATATACTGCAGTGTTGAATGATGATAAAATGCCTTCTAGAACCCAAAGTACTACTTCCTTTCCATTATTGCTTAGCTGGCGTTCACAGCAAGTTCGCTCAAAGCGAACCGCGCTCAACAACAGTGCACAGATATTTGTGAAGCACGTGTTTGGGGTGCTACACGAAAATTTGTTCCGAACGACCTTGAAGTTTCTGGGTTACATGCACGTGATTGGGTCTCTCAATTCGCTCAACTCGTCTACCAATTTATCCACATTCGTATGGCACGTGGAGTGGGTGTGGTCAGTTGCAAAGCTGCCACGCTGGACAGAATATTCCTCTTTTTGGGACTCTTGAGCGCGGTTCGCTTGAGCTAGGCAGTAGGGCAGTTGGGCAGTTGGGACCAATCAAAGTGATGCGTTGGGCGATTGGGACTTACCAGGCAGTAGGCTGTGAACACCATCTTAGCAGAAGCCCAACACATTCCTGATGCATCATCAAAAGAATGCCCCTCAACAAATGTTGTTAGATCCAGGCTATCTTCAATAACTGCTTCAACCCCATCAGTCGTCGAACCTCAAAGCACCAAGCCAAAAGCTCGTGTCCCGAATCTAGTACCAGCAGCTCAAGCACCCGCCAAACCTCCTCCAGGGTTTGGAAGAAAGGTCAAGCACACCCTGCAATTTTATCGACCAGTGCCTGCTCCCCATCAGGAGAGAAAAGCGAGCAAGTGATCTGAGTGCAATATTCCGTGTTATTTTGCAATTACATGCTCTTGTTCAGGCAGATTATCCCGGTGTCTTGAATGCTAGAAGAGTGAGTTCCAGCATTTGTTCGTCCAGTAAGCAAGCTTTGTTGGTGATCAAATGCATTAAATGTATAATCCGTTAAACAATATACGATGCTTTGCACTGTACTATCAAACAAACATAGGCACCCCATGAATGGAGTCCCTTCTCTTTATTCTGTAGCCCGCTCCCAAACATCACAACATCCATCCAGCACCACTCACTCCATCCCTCCTGCCCGTGCCTGCTTTATATTCCCTCTACACCAAAAAAGCACTTAGAAGCTGTTTCAGATTGCTACTGCAGGGGATAGCACCTCCTGTTGCAAGAAGACCAGGCTCAGTTGAGGCTAGGCAGCAGGAGCACCATTGCCACCACCCCATGCGCAGCCAAGTTCTCCATCAGCCCCGCATGTGCATTCGGCACGCTCAGCGCCTCTTTTTGCAAAAAGACAAATACCTCTAGTTGAGGTTGGGTGGAATGAGAACCATCGTCACGCCATGCGCAGCAATGTTATCAGTCAGTCCCGCATTCGGCACGCTCAGCGGCGACACGAACCTCGTCGGCGGAACCGACTGGAAATACACTTCGTTCGGCTTAAAACGAGAGTGCAAAATAGTGAACCCCGACCACCTTGAAAAAGTGGTGCGACGAGTTTCTCGTAGAGAAAGGATCGGGCTGACACACCACGGTCCAAACAATTTCACTAGGCAACGTGAACTTACGTGATTGGCCCTCGAAACGGTGGTTCCCGCCAAATTTTTTTTTTTTTATGCAGATCTACTCCGTCGCACGTCCACGTGTTGCGCCTGTGCGACTGTTCCCCAGCGTAGGTTTCCATCGTTGGCCCAAGGTCGGCTTCAAGTTGGAACTGGGTTCACAACTAGCTGCTCTCCAATCCCGAAGTCACTAGTTTTATTTTCCTAGCATAGTTTGCTGAGAAGCAAGCTGTTTGTGGCCAAGGTACCTAACTATCGACATAGTTGGAATGCGTAATGTAGTTACGTAGCTTCGTATCGTATTTTTATTTCCCCTCTCTCGCCATCGTCACCCTCTCTTCATCGTCGGCCCCTCTCGTTCACCCCTCGACGTCCGTTTCTACCGCCGCTCATCACGGTACTCCCTTCCAATCACCCACATCGCGCCCTCGCGCTTGCATGACATGCCCTCCCGTCGACCTACCTTTCTCCCATCCCATCCATCTCGTCGCCCTTGCGCTCTCTCTGAAATGCTCCCTTTCCCGTCGATCTCGCTCGCTCTCTCCCCTCCTTTCCGTCGCTCTCGCTCCTCTCCCCTCCCTTTCCGTCGATCTCGCTCTCTCCCCTCCCTTGCAATCGCCATCTTACCTCCCGTCCCATCGCCCTTGATGTTCCTTCTTAATCATTAGATGATAATAACTTACCTAGCAAATAGATGTTCTCTTTCAAAAAAATTCCCCCCCCTTCCCGTCGCCCTCGCTCGCTCCTCTTCCTTCCCCTCTCCTTTGCGCGCTCCCCCGTACCTTCCCGTCGCCATCGCTCTCTTCTCTCCCCCGCCCCATGTCCTTCGTTCTCTTCCCTCCCTTCCCGTCGACATCGCTCTCCTCTCCCCTCCCGCCCCATGTCCTTCGTTCTCTTCCCTCCCTTCCCGTCGCCATCGCTCTCTTCTCTCCCGCCCCATGTCCTTCGTTCTCTTCCCTCCCTTCCGTCGCCATCGCTCTCTTCTCTCCCGCCCCATGTCCTTCGTTCTCTTCCCTCCCTTCCGTCGCCATCGCTCTCTTCTCTCCCGCCCATGTCCTTCGTTCTCTTCCCTCCCTTCCGTCGCGATCGCTCGCTCCTCTCCCGCCCCGCCTCTCCCGCCCTTTCCTTCGCGCTCTCCCCTCCCTTCCCGTTGCTGTCGCTCTCTCGTCCCCCACCCAATCTCCCCTCCCATCGGCCAATCCGTCACACTCGCGCTCGCTCTGACCCGCCCCCCCCGCGCCGTTCGTATATCCCCTCGAATCACCCACCTCGCCGTCCTTGCGTTCGCCCCCGAAATGCCTGCCCGTCGCCTTTCGTAATTCTCTTCTCCCATCGTCGCTATCGCGCTCTCCTCGAACTGCCCTCCCGTCGCACTTCTCTCCCCTCCGATCACCCATCTCATCGCCCTCGCGCTATTCCTCACGTCTCCCTCCCATCACCCTACCATTCCGTGATTTTGCGCACTCATTTCTCTCTCCGCGTCCTTGTTTCCGTCGCCCCATCTCTCTCTTATCTCGTCACCTTGAATCTCTTTGTTATTTTCCTCTTTGGTTTTCTATGTTGTGATCGCAGGCTTAGCAGGCCCATGCCAAAAGCATTTGCTGTGCGTGAATTGCTCATGCTGCACTTGTTGAAATTGGCACGGCATGTGCATGTGATTTGCACGTCGCAAACTTGCGACACAATTGCATATGCTTGCGATGATTGATGAAATTTTGTGAAAGACTCGATTAGTGTTTCTCCGCGTCTGAACAAAAATTACGGAACAACACTTCCAACTTCCAAAGTGAGTACGAGATTTCAAGTGGACCCAACTAGAAGGGGGGGGGTCACTATTTTAGCTGCTGGCTTTAAGAGTCTTGTTCACGGCAGGTTCTGGTTAAAAGTCGGGAAGAGCGTGAGCGGAGCCGCGTCGAGGAGTTGCTGTGTGGTGTAACGCCCCTTGAGGACGTGGTAACGGAGTAACCGGCGCTTCTGCTTGGGGGTGAGCGTGTTCCACTGGGTTGCGTAGCGCCAGTAACCGACGTTGGTGGGATGAGGATGGTTGCGTCCTGATCGATGTACAGCTGCTCCGATAGGACTGGCAGGCAGAGAGGGAGGAATGGAGGTAGAAATGGAGAGAAAGGAAGAGGGAGTGAGTGTTTTTTTGAAAATTCTCGAAAACGAAGTACAGCTGCTCCGATAGGACTGGCAGGCAGAGGGGGACATGGAGGTAGAAATGGAGAGAAAGGAAGTGGAGAGTGAAAGATTTAGTATTGCAAGGCCTCTCCACCTGGTGCCATTTTACCAGTCTAGGGTAAAAATCTGAGGTGACTTTTGAGTCGACTCTGAGATGACTTTTGAGTCGACTCTGAGGTGACATTTGAGTCGACTCAAAAGGAAATGAAATGGAGTGAAAGGCATCTCCACCTGGTGCCATTTTACCAGTCATAGGGTAAAAATCTGGCCAGAGGAGTAAAGGAGCGATTGGCCACCTGCTGAAGGATCGAATGAGTCTGCGCCTCCCAGTCGGGCTCCGCGGGGGAAGGGGGTGAAGAAGGCGTGGCAGGTTGATCAGAGAGGCTCAGAACGGTTGAGAACTTACAGAGGAAGGTGAAGTCTTGGGCGAAGTTGGAGAGGAACGTCTGATTCGCCACCTGCTGGAGGATCGACTGAATCTGCGCCTCCCAGTCAGGTTACGTGGGGGGGTGCGCAGAGTGGTTCAGAACGGTTGGGAACTTACAGAAGAAGGTGAAATCTTGGGCGAAGTTGGAAAGGAACGTCTGATTCGCCACCTGCCGGAGGATCGACTGCATCTGCGCCTCCCAGTCTGGTTCCCCCGCAGGCGAGCGTTCGTGGACCATTTCTGAAGCCAAGTCAATACCCGAGTCCTCCTCCTCCTCCTCATCCTGATCGTCCTAGTCGGGATCGTCCGCGGGAGGGCCGCCTTGCGCGGGTTCCGCGGGTTCCGCGGGTTCCGCAGCTTCTTGCGCCGGCGAATCAGAGCTCTGGACCAGCTGCTCCACCCAGCCGAGATCCGCGGGGGCGGGTTGCGCGTCTGGCACGGCGGTGTTCTGCAGCCACTGCACCACCCAGTCGGGGTCCTCCGCGGGCGCCGGTTGCGCGTCAGGCACGGTGTTCTGCAGCATCTGCGCCACCCACTCGGGGTCCTCCGCGGGCGCGGGTTGCGCGCTCGCGAAGCTCGCCCCGCTTCCGCTCAGGAGACACGAGACCAGCAGCGCAGCGACGCCGGCGCTGCTCGCGAAAGCGCCCACGGGGTAACCGCGCGTTTCGCGTGCGGATGGCCATTTTTACTCGTAAAAAGCACCGTCGTTTCAAGAAAACCTTCGTTCTAGCGGAAGCGGAATCAGGAGCTGAGGAAGTCAACAGATTCAAGAGAATTTCTCTTGCGAGATTCTACCGCGAGAAGGACTGGTCAGAATGGATTGAGTAATCAAGTTCACCCTTGCTGCCTTTTATACTCCCCCGCCCGCCGACCATCCCAGCGGCTGGGCTCGAAACCCGCGCGGCTGGGCTCGTCGAACCCGCGGGCAGCGCAGCGCGCCTGATGAGTGAAAGCGAGCAAGCGAGCGTCCGTCATCATGCATGCAGCCAACCAGTCTGATTAAGTTAATCCTATCGCGAGGATGCGCAACAACATGAGGTTGAGGTTGAGGAGGCTAGTACTGCTGCCGTTTCGGCTCGAAACTCGAGGGGAGGCGGGAGCATTTTCGGAGGAGGCGTTGGTCAGAGCGGGGGGAAACAGCTGGTGAGTTTCCGCGCAACGCAATGAAGGGCGGCGCAACGAGCGGCGAATCCGACCACCTGCTGTATGATCGGCTCAGTTCGGGGGGAGACGGGGGCATTTTCGGAGGAGGCGTCAGCGGAAAGGGGGGAACAGCTGGTCGTTTTCCGCGCGCAGAGGGCCGGCGCAACGGGCGCCGATGAAGGGTTTAGTTTACAGTCGGCGGTTAAGCTGAGTGGCCGTCACAGTTGTTGGTTGACTCGAACACGTGACTAGTAGAAGACCCAGCAACTGACTGTTTTTGTCGCTTTGTCCAATAAACTCTGTCCTCTGTATAAGATTATTCGACACTTGCGCGGAGCTCTGGGCATTGCCACGATAACGCCGCCGAGATTCCGCACGGCGCGCTGCAGCATGATAGCGCCGAGAGCTCGAGTCAACGGCGCTTGACAGCATGATAGCGCCGCGCACTGATAAGTCAGTTTTTGAGTTGACTAAAAAACAGATTGACAGCATGATAGCGCCGCGCACTCTATTACGCTTCGTACGTGAATACTACTCTCGTGCGATACTCGCGGCTTGCCAGATGCATCCGCAACGGTGATAGGGCCGTTGCCTTGCTCAAAGTAGAGACCAGAGAGGAGGTTGATCGAGATTCGAGAGATCGAGAGTCGAGAGATCAAGATACAAGAATTGGGGATATGCAGCAATGCGGCGCAAAGAGAAAGTGGCGGATCGGCTGAGGCGAATGCGGGGCGAATTGGGGAATGGGCGAGGGGGGCGCGAACTAAAAGCGGGATTGGCGGGGGTTTTGCGTGCGAGGAAGGCCTCCCAACCGAGTTCAAGATTGGTTTGGAGGCGAAGTGCCAGTTGGAATCTGGTAACAGCAAGTGTCGGTTCGTCTCCCGCTTCGTGGTGCCTGTGGGGTCCGAAGCTTTCGTGCAAATTTGCACTGTTACAAGATGATTCATTCAGGTTAAAAAAAAATCAAATTAGCAACATTACACAAGTTCTGAATGGAATAAAAAGTGCTGCTTCAACATACTGCATTCGCGACACAACATGGTCAAATGCCTTCTAGGAGACCCCACCTCCATTTCACGTCTTGCTTTGTAGCAGAGGCAGAACCCACTCCTGATGCACAAACATCGCCAGCAGCATCGGGACGCATAACTCCTTCAGCTCCAATAGTTGCCTTTATTCTGTCCTCTTTAAAAGCTGCTTCAAACCTCCGCAACAGCTGCTGTATGAGTGTCAATCAAAGCTCCCACCCGTGCCTGAAGCCTCCGAGCCAAAGGCTCATGCCCCGAGCCTGTCAACAGCTCCAGCAGCTGCCGAACCTCCTCCAAGGTTTGGGAGGAGGGGCTGAGCATGCGAATGTGCTCGACCAGTGCTTGCTCCTCGTCAGGACTGGATGGGGTGATTGAAGAGTGAAGCGAGCAAGGCACGGGAAAGAGAGATGCAACAGTGTATGAGTCAGCAAAAAAGAGAGTGGGGTGAAGCATGCGAGCAATATAAATGAGAAGTGACAGAAGGTTGTTTCGCCAGATCAAAACAACTGAGCGCCTGATCACACCAAGTGCATGGTCTTGACAAGCATACACTCTCTGCTTCTGCTGCATACTAAGCGGAAGTGTCTGCATACTAAGCGGAACCATACACTCTCTGCTTCTCTGCTGCCTTCTGGATGGATTCTGCTTGTAGTGTCTGTCCCAGATCAAAACAACTGAGCGCCTGATCATACCAAGTACATGGTCTTGACGACAAGCACGCTTAGAGTCATTTCCCAGGAATCTCCCCCCCAAACCTCCCCACCACCTCCTTCCAAAAATGTGCTTGACTAGCAGGGCCCCCATACCGTTCCCCGCAGGCCCCTACATCCGACCTGCCAGCGCGAATCCTCCTCCCCTTGTCTGCCTTCTGTTGTTTTCCTCCTGGCCCTTCCCCTATCTGGCTGCAACCCCCCTCTCCCCCCCTTTCCCCTCTCCCCCCCTTTCCCCTCTCCCCCCCTCCCTCCCCCCCTCCCCTCTCCCAACAGGCCCCTGCAACTAACCTGCCAGCGCGAATCCTCCCTCCCCTTGTCTGCCTTCTGTTGTTTTCTCCTCCTGGCCGCCCTGCCACTCGCTTCTTGCTGGTAGCAGTCCACCCACTGGCCGTGCTCACTCGAGAGGATGAGCTGTGGGTGATGGCAAGGGGTGGGGAAGAGGAAAGGGAAAAGCCCCTGACGCGCATCAAGGCCTGCTGCTGGCCGTCCACCCACTGGCCGTGCTCACTCGAGAGACGAGCTGTGAAGTATGACAGTGGGTGGAGGGGTGAGGGGGGAGGAGTGGGTTGGAGCACAACAGTTCAAGACTTGCTGCTGGCCGTCCGTCCAGGTCCAGCCACTGGCCGTGCTCACCTGAGGCGGCGTTCTGTGGGGCAGAGAAGGTGCCCCACAGAGGAGGAGGAGAAGGGCAGTGTTGAGGGTGGGAAGGGGGGAGAAATGTCGAGAATGTTGGGAGCATGTGATAACCCAGCAGTATGAGCCCGTAACCTGCAGTATAGGCGCTCAAGCCAGTGATGCTGCTAGCCATGCTCCCCACATCGCAGAACAAACAGACACTCTCGGTGTAGTTCAAGTGCTTACCCTGCAGTATAGGCAGGCGCTCAAACCAGTAACACCGCTAGCCTGCTCCCCACATCACTCGAAGCCATACATGCCGTTTCCTATGCCTCATCCATCCCCATGCCCCCTCCCCTTATATAGTGCAGGTTCTTACCCTGCTGGAGTCTAAGCACGTACCCTGCAGAATAAGCACGTACCCTGCAGTATAAGCACGTACCCTGCAGTATAGGCACTCAAACCAGTGACAAACCGCTAGCCATGCTCCCCACATCACTCGATGCCATAGACGCTGTTTCCGATGCATCATCCATTCCCATCCCCCCTCCCCCATACTCCTCTCCATACTCTTCCCTCCTCCTCCTCTCCACCTCCTCCCTCTGCTCCTCTCAGCTCTCAGCTTCTCCTCCATCTGCACCCTCTTGCACCGCACTGCACCGAACCGCCGAACATAGGCTGTGATTTTCCCCTGCATCTCATCCATGTCTGTTAGCATTCCCCTTGCTGCTTCTACTGCTGCTGGAACGATCAGCGAATCAAGAAGCGACACACCTGTCCACACCTCCCCCCCCCCGCCTCCTCCGCTGCTTGCTCCCAGCAATGCGCCTCCACTAAAAGACGAATCCCGCCGCCCGAATCCCCCTCGTATTCAATCGCCAGCCGCCCAGCTTCGGCCCTCCTCCCAACCTCTACCAGCTCCTCCCGAAGCTCCTGCGCAAGTTTCCGAAACTCAGGCTCGGAGAAACCGAGCCTGGCTGCTGTGGTAAGGGCCTTGCGCCACTGCCCGGCCTGCCGGTAGGCCTGGAGCGACCGAGGCAAGCTGTTAGCTGCGGTAAAGAGAAGCGCAGCTTCGGGAAGCGAGCCTCGGAGGCTCGGGAAAAGAGGTGCTCGGCCCATTGGTTGAGGATGGAGGTTCGGACCGAAGCAAGGGTAAGTGTGGAAGAAGCAGCGGGGGAAACAGAAGAGGAATCAGCGAGGGAAGCAGAACAAGAATCTGACAAAGAGGAAGAGGGGGATGAGAGGGAGGGATGAGAGACGATAGCTGTGGGCAGTGGCAGCAGCAGCGACAGAGAAGAGTCTATCGGGGTGTGCTCGCAGCAATGCCATCACCTTTCTACCAGCCTCCTCGCCTCCTGCCCTGCTGCCCGCTCGCTCCCTCTCCCTTGCTCTGCTCCCTCACTTGCTCCTCTCCCTTCCCCTCCTCCTCCTTTCCTGCCTCTCCTCCCCCTCTTTCCTCCCCTCCCACTCCCTCCACCTCTCCCCTCCCCCTCCCCTCCCCCCTCCCCTCCCCCCCCCCTCCCCCCTCCCCTCCCCCCTCCCCTCCCCCCTCCCCATCCCCTCCCCCCTCCCCCTCCCCCCGCCCCTCCCCCCTCCCCCTCCCCCCTCCCCTCCCCCCTCCCCTCCCCCCTCCCCTCCCCCCCCTCCCTCCCCCCCCCTCCCCCCTCCCCTCCCCCCTCCCTCCCCCCCACCACCATCAGCGGTGAATCAGAAGCCACCAGCTGGCCAACCGCCCCTTCCAGCCTCCCGAGCCTCACATCGATCTTAAACCGCCGGATCGGCGGAGGCTCGGCGGCCAAGCCTCGAAGGATCGGGAGGAACTCCTTGGGGTCCTTCTGGGACTGTGCGTGTGCGGCTACTAAAGCCGCGAGGTTTAAATCGTAGAGACCTAATGCGGAGTTAAAGACGTGGTCCGGGGAGGTTAGCCACATGAGATGCTTCAAGGAAGCTTCCACGGAGAGGGAGAGGGGAGGGGAGGAGCAAACAGGTTCGGTTCCAGCTTCGGTTTTCCCGGGCTTGATGCG